ATGGCTTCCAAAACAGACAATAATAAAATTGGATATGATGAGATGGAAAATGCATTTTGCAAAATGCTTTTTGGAAGATGTCAATGGAGATTCTCAGTCATCCACGTCATGGTTGTCCCAAAAGTGCTTTTTCAAAAGGCAACTGGACTTTATTTTTCCTTGAAGTCAGAACTGAAGATACTTCTTGGATGAGAAGTGAAATAACTTCAAGGAAAAATAAAGTCCAGTTGCCTTTTGAAAAAGCTCCTTTGGGATTTTTGGGAAGATGAAGAATTCTGCAAATCTGTTTGGAAGAGCCAAAAGTACTGAAAAATATTTATGGGGAATTTATAGTCAGATGTAAAAATGTCTATTTGTATGGATGAAAGCAATAGAAAGACCAAGAACTAAGTGGGTTGTTGCTTTCCTTGAACAATGCTAATATAATTGGATTGGAAGAACAATTAGTGTACAGTATAGAGAATTTGGGTAGAGGATATTCTCTATGTGACTAAATAGGCTGAAATTCATTAACAGTTTGGGAAACCACAAAGAAATCCTCTGTAAATTTCTCAAAATTATTTGAGATTCATTCTAATTAAACAGACATAATTCTTGCCATGATGCATTCAGAAGAAGGCAGGGCATAACTACCTAGTGTGTTATACAGTATGTAATAAATATAAATATCAAATTCATATACTGAAACTTCAAGATAAGACAGAAGAAGTATTTACTTGGCATTTTTAAAATACAATTATATACGTGTGTATATATAAAGGTAAGGCTTTTTATTTACATAAACACTAGATATGATAAAGCTGTGTCTTTGTACACAATAAATTATTACAGTTTTGAAAGGTTACATAAAAGCAGAATATGTCAGTTGTTTTCATATAGTTACCTGTTCATGTCTTCCCAAAGGAAAGTGGGACTGCTGTTAAGACCTGATCTCCCCTCCCAACAAATGAAAAATAAGCAAACAAAAATGACAGAAACCTCCATATTTCTTTTTCATGCTAGAAAGATCATGTGAGTATTGTTAATGGTACTGAATAGTGTCATATGTGAGACTTGCAAGGTTGGTGGGATCAGAAGAGGTGAATTTGTATACTTTCAACAATGTTGGATTCCTTCTCTGAGGGAAACTGATGATATCTTCCTGGTTTGGGATTGCTTCATTTTACTTTGCCAATAGATTTAAACATCAATCACTACAACGCTCTAAGCTACACTATAAATGTGGTGTTTTTTTCCAAAAGAGAGAGGAGGAAATTTGGAAATACTGAGTTTTCTGACAATAATTTCAGATCTTTGAAATACGCCCTCAAAAGTCTGTTTATTTGGGACATTTCAGACAGTTCCTGCTCATTTTCACTTGCCTTAAAGCAGATTTCAAGATATGAAAAATGACTTAATCGGAATGTGAGACATATACCACAGGAAAAGAACTAGATGATTTTGACCTAAATCAAAAATACTAGGTGAGTAACCTCAAGATGGGTATATACAATAGGGCTATCAGATCCAGTCTGTAAAAATCTAGATGGTTTTTTAAAAATATCTCTTTGCTGATATCTTGTGGTTGCCTTGGTTTTTGTAGCCAAAATCTGGTAAGCTAAAATAGAAGTCAAAACAGAGTTAGCAAATATAGGTGGTCCTCAGTTTATGATGGCATTTGGGACCAGATCTGCCATCAGTAAGTGACATGGTAATAAAGCGAGGTGTTACTGGCTGTGTCGCTTGGTGACAGTAATTCCAGCAGTCCCAGTTCCCATAGTTAAATGAGGATCACCTGGGTTGTTGAATGAGGATCTCACATGACTGTTAGCTCTGAATTCTCCATTGACTTTGCTTGTGGAAGCCAGAGAGAATGTTGGAAATCAAATCACATGATTGTGACTCACTGCAACATTACAATTGTGAGCCAGGTTGTAACTTGAGGACCAACTGTAAAGAGTTGATTTCATTGTGCATCCTGTAAGGAGCTTCTTTTCAAATAATTCTGTGAACTTTTTTGGGTGTAGATCTGTCTAAGTTCTCTAATTCTTAAAGTTGTGAGGAGAAATTAATTAGCTAAACTGGCAGAATGTATTGTTTAACAGCATCTTAACACTTTGCAAGTTTCCTTACTTCTAAGTAAGACCCAATGCAATAAATAGGTCTCACTCCCAGGAGTGAATCCTAAGCTTTGCAGTATAGTTATAGTTTCAAATTTTAAGCTCTGAATTCTAGAAGGACAATTGGTTTATTTACCTACTGATATGGATAAATGTGTCTAAATTATATTACTATATATGTATATAAACATAATGGGGTAGTAGATAAGACTGCTAATATTTGGTGGGTAGAGTGGCCATTCTAAGTCCTACGTAAAGTAATTTCATCAATCTGCCCAAGAAAGTTTTTATTTTTTTAATAGACCTTTCTAACTTATTTTTGCCTTTCTTTCTTTGATTGTTTTAAACAATTGGCATTCTTCCTGCTTTTTATGAAGCTAATTATACAAACAAGAATAAGCAGGCAGTGCTTTAAATTCAGCTTATTCATATATTTTTACCAGGTTTAGCGCCAAGAAAACCCAACATCAGTGCTTACAATCTTATAATCATTTTTCTTCCTTTGTTCTCTAAATCAGACAGCAATGACCAGGAGTTTGGGCCACCATGCTTCTTTTTATTTATTAAACTTATGTGTTGCCCATCTCACCGAAGGCAACTCTACTCATAGTGAACAATACTGTGTGAACCTGAAAAAAAATGTTGCTCCTCTAAGAATCAGATGCACTTTAATGAATGGATTTCTTAAAGCAACAGTCAAGTCTGAAAAAAAAATCAGATTGTTTTAAAGAACAGAAAAGAGATGCTGCGTTTGTACAAGGCCTAAAGCAGTTCTCCCAAATTATTTTTTAAGCTCATGTAGTGTTAGTAGATACTATGTCCTTCCCAGTTATGGTCCAAGGAAAACCTTCAGAATGCTGTGGAATAAAAAAAAAATCTACAGGAAAATGTTAATTCTTAGAAGTGGTACATACTGAATAATGACAAACTCTGGGCCTTCAGTCTAGTTAAAGAGATGGTTAACTTCTTTTTGCTGGATGAGTGGATCTCTCTGTAACCAAATTTTCTCAGATCTACCTATGTTCCAGAAGACTGTCAGCAAAAAGGACTAATAAAGTGTCAATGTTTTAAGGCCTTATATACAGCACACAGGATAACCGGCTGATGCACCTGAGGACAAAGTTCCAATGGTATTTATCTTAAGCTATTCAGAAATGTAGTGAGGCTGCTAGGACTAACTAAGGCTTGCCTAGATAGCAGTACCAGGTGACTCTAAAGGAGTTATTCATGTCTCGTTTTCATTTTAAAAAAATCCAGAAATTAAAATACTATGAAGAAGAAAAGTTTAGAGGATATTCTTTTTGTGGACCTGTGAACACAATTGCTTACTGGCACGCTAACTAGGCATGTCAACTTATTTTTCTGGTAGGATTTTTGTGATGTTAACAATGCATGACAGGTAGAATTATTAGCAAACAAAAGCTCCTTTACTAAAAGTGCTCCCTTCTCTTTAACAGAACTATCTTCACAGCACAGAAAGCCCTACCAGAAGTAGACAACCAAAATATTAGCCGAATACTTTGCAATACAATCTGGATGTATTTGTACAGCCAATCCTCACAGGACACTGTTCCCTGAAGTGGCCATGGCATGACCTTGGGGTTGGTTTTAAGAAAAATAAACAACCATCATCACTAACTGAAATTTCCCTCTACTTGTTGCAATGCTTCCCACAACCATAGAAAACATTTAAATCGTCTTATGCCATTTCTCCAAGTGGTGAATAGAAACAGAGATGCTTAACTTACTACAGGTTAAGTCTTCATTTATTTCCTTGATATATTTTCTCAAGGGAGGAGGTTACTTTTTCACTGTGTTTATTTAAAAGGAGATCTTGTTACACAGCAGCAAAAACTTTGGGGGTCACCTTAACAAGGACCTGTAGCACTTTTCTGAGCTTTCCATTCTTTCTTAAGGTCCAGTTAGTCCAATATGTAGCCTTATATTGTCTCTCAGAAGTTCTAATCAGTTTCACAAGCAGAAGATGTTAAGGCACCAGCTTGTCTCTGCACATGAGCGCTGGAGTATTTTAGGTCATGAGCCACAGTGGGGACCAAATGTTAAATTGACTTAAAAGCTAGATGCTTTCTTTGTCTCTTCCTCAGAACATTAAGATATTTTTTTCTTTAGAATCATTACTGTTTCATACCAGAACAGATCTATCTCACTGCACTTCAGCTGTAGTTTTGAGATACAGGCCTGCCCTTCAAATGACTTGGGTGCTAGGTAGTATTACAGCAGAGTAAATTATTGTGGATGTCGTGTGTGTGGTTTGTGTAAACAGCTAAGAATTCTGTAAAGTATTTTGTATAGTGTTGATCCATTCCAAGACAAGCTGCAAGCTGATGATGGTTGATCTGGAGCCTTATTTCTTTCCTCTCCCTTTTTTTCTGAGTTATATTTGCTTCTCTGCACTTCTTTGCCTCTCTGTAAATATTCCAGTGAAATAAACAGTGAATATTATAAAGGCTTCATACATGCAGCTAAGTCTGGGCATGACAAAATGAATTCAGCAAAGCTAGATCAGCGATGGGCCTTATCACCTTTTTCATTTTTCTCTCCAAAACCACAAATACCTTTTGCCCTGCCTTTTGAAAAATGGCAATAGAAACAAAATGTTTTCAGCATCACACCTTGGGTAGCAGAGGCAAATGTTTCATAAACTATGTAAACCAAAAGAACAGCTGGCTTCCGGCAAGGACTGCCCCCCCCCACTTCCCACCAAAGTGTGCTCAAGGTCTGGAAGCAGCATAGAGAACAAACTTGTTGGCTAAGGCCACAGTAAAAAGTTTTCCGGTGTTTACATTGCTGCTGCCAGCCTTACTCAAGGGTGTATTCACAGTGGACACATTGATCCACATCTTTTTTCCTCCAGCCACCAATCACAGGGAGAAGTCCATGTTATTCCACTCCGGCTCTCTGCTTTGTAGTGTCGTAGGATCGAACAACTTGAGACTGTGAAACAACCCCGTGCTCCTCCTGTGAAAAAGCGTAACCATCTGGGGGGAGAAGAGGAAAGAGCCGAAAAAGAGATTTGGAGTCAGAGAGAGGTTACAGTTTGTTTCTTTAACAACCATGAGGAGAGCATACAATATGAGAGGAGATTAGAAGCAATTAAACCCAGTTCAGCCCACACAACTGCAGTCTTTTTCTGATGTTCTTTCAGAGTAATGTGGATAACACAGAACAGAAGGGACCATTATTATAAGCCTTAGATCTCCCTCCTGCCCCTTCATTCAATAGAACAAAAATCAGGGATACTGGCAGATTAAACTTGTCTTCTCCCAAATTCAATATCCTACATGCCTACATCCCTGTTTGTAACTCAAGGGAGAAATATTGGGAGAACTGAACCAAATCTAGAGTGAGGAACCGTGGTGCCTCAAACATAACTGCTGCTCAGGGAGCATTAATAACAAACATGGTCCCACATCCATTATTTTTAGGGTGAACATGAGTCACATACCAATGCATACGGTAGTTTTTAAGTACTGTGTGAGAAAGGTTTAGACTAGAATGTTTCTCAGCCTTGGCAACTTTTAAGACATGTGGAATTCTGGCTGGCTAGGGAATTCTGGGACTTGAAGTCCATATGTCTTAAAGTTGCCAAGATTAAGAAACACTAGTTTAGA